CCCCAAAACCCCAAAACCCCAAAACCCCAAAACCCCAAAACCCCAAAACCCCAAAATAGTAAAAATAGATTGAACAATCCTAAATTCTTTCTTATCATTCAATTTTATCTTTTAGAAAGTTCTTTGGTCATCTTTCTAGAATACTCAAGTCTCTTCAATAGCTCTTCATCTGAAGATTCTAAGGCTTGATCTAGTTCAAGAAGTTTGCAGGAACCATCAGGATCAACATATTCAATCATCTTGCTTGGCTTATTTATCATTCTGACCTCGGTTCCATCATTAAAGATGACTTGAACGGACTTCCTGGCAAACTTGAAGATGATTGCATTCCTAGATTTCATCCAGGCTTTGATGAATGTACCCGGATCTATTGCTCCTTTTTCTTTCTGTTCTTCAATTTCATCCTTAGTGAGGAACGATTTGAAATTTTCTACTATTCTGTACTTCTTCTTCAGTCTAGATGGGATTTTGTGTAAGCTGTAGGAGTGAAATTCATTCGTATCTTCATAATAAGTCAAATCCTAAAGCATTAGGAGGATCTTACCTGGAACGAAAGCAGCATCTTAGTCTTGTCATTGAAGAAGACACCGATGTTGCCATTCGATAGCAAATAGCCCATTCCGTATTTTGAGCTGAAATCTGAACACTTGGTGACCCAGACTCTTGACTGCTTCAGGAAATGGTTTGACTCTATAGCTGGCTTCTCCTCTTTTCTAACAGAGCTTAGGGGTAACTTTGGATCTAAGATGTGAGATATGGTTTAAATACCTGAAGTTTCCTCCTCAAGAGCAGGAAGGAGCTTCCCATCCTCTGTGGTGAACGGATGTACACTGAGTTCATCAAGAGTTGCTCTCTTAGAGCTATCTTTCTCCAGCATTACTTGTAACAAGTTTGCAAGGGAAGAGGATACCATTTTATGAGCAGGGATCTTGAAATCTACAGTTTTGATTTTCCTGTAAGTCTCCTTGATGTTATTTTGACGAAAATGGAGCATGACCAAAAATCAAGATATAAATTATAATTCCTAGACTCCAAACATCAACTTCAAATGAATGTGTGGTTTTAGATCCGATGATTTCTGGAGCAATATAGTTAGGGGTACCTCAGATAGTTCTTCTTCTTTGTTTAGGATACTCCAGTCTTGCAGAAAGTCCAAAATCAGCGAGAAGTATGGTCTTCTTCTTATCTTTCAAGAGTAAATTTCCTAGCTTTAGATCTCTATGAATAATACTTCTATCATGACAGAATTTAAGGGCTCTCACCAGTTGTCTAACATAATTTCTGATCTGACTCTCTGTGAGAGATCGTTCTCTTTTGCCTGTATTCTTAAAGAAGTCATTGAGGTTACCATCATCTCAGAGCTCAAGTACGATGTACACATTTTTAGAATCTTCGAAGAAGTCAATAAATTTCACAATATTTGGGTGATCCAAAGACTTGTGAATGGAGATTTCGTACAAAAGCTTTTTGAATGTACGTGATTTTCAAAGAGAGTTCTTGTCAATAATCTTTCCTGCAACATCTGTATCAGTCTGAAGGTCATGGAACCTGAAGCACTGTGCAAATCCTCCTTTCCCAAGGAACTCTTTCTTAATATATTTCTTAATCACCGTTTCCCCTTCAGGGGTTACATATTTATGAACGATCAGTCCTTTCTCCCCTTCACAATCTTCCTCATTCGTACTCTTATGCGATGTAGTTTCTATAACCCATCAAAATCACTTCAAAAAACTCAAAAATCCAGTATTCCAAAACCCACAAACAATCCTCAACGTCAGCAGCTCCTACAAGGCAAGGCCGCCATCGTGCAAGATCTGCATTTACCTCTTCTCATAAAAAATATTTACTCAAAAATGAATTAACAACGCGGGGTTTTGGGGTTTTGGGGTTTTGGGGTTTTGGGGTTTTGGGG